TGCCAAAGACACTGTGCATGTTTAGGGGGTAATAAAACAACATCACAAAACCACACTTTGCCTGATGCATGTTATTTTTCAGAGCTTCTCTTACTCCCAGACTCCACATGGATCAATCTTCTGCATTCCCCACCTTCAGGACAGCTCCCAAGAGTCGGGTCCACAGCGTTTATACTTAGGATAGAGGTCTGTTTCTTCTCTTTTGAAATTCTTTCTAGCCCCAGTTTATCCCACTGCTCTCTCTCACACTAGATTATTTTCTCCATCCTCTGTCCTATCGACGCAGGATCATGTCTTACATCAATTACATTCGAAGGCTAGTACCAAGGAGGTTCAAATAAGGTTGTGAAGCTGATGGTATCTTCCACATTACAGAGCAATTTTCCAACATGGAGTTCAGGCACTTTTAATAAATGCTATGTGAAGAACAAAAAGTCTACAGTCAAACTTCAGATTCTCAAGGTTCAATACAGTCATATAGGGTTTTGTGTATGCTGCGGGATTTCCCAGAACCTTTAGTATGCTAATGTGCTCCACAAATCTCCAAGAGAAGTCAGTATTACTCAAAATAACATGTCTTTGTTAGTACACAGGGGCTAGTGTTCCATATAACATAGTTTGGAAGTTATCACAAAAAAAAATTGCACACTTAAATCAGATGTGATGACGTACATCTGTAATCCTAGCACTCTGGGAGGCTGAGGCAGGAGGAGTGTAACAACTTCAAGCTCAGCCTGGACAGTTTAGTGATTTAGACCCTGTACCAAAATATAGGGTATAACCAAACTATAGCATATCAGCTGTGGATGTAGCTCAATGGGGAGGCTCTGAGTTCATTTCTCAGTACCAAAAGATTTTTTAAAAAATATACTCAGTTTATTGGACATTGATGACAGTAACTGAAGAATGTCAGAATGAGTGAAAACAGACAGTTCTGCTGTCATTACTGGCTTGGTTTGTTTTCAATTCTAAGCTCTAAAATTTATTTACAGTTCCTTTATTTCAGTACGAAACATGATCCTTCCACAGAAGAAGATGACCGACACCGAGTGAAGGAGTTCAAGTTGCTTAAGAACCAAGGTGCAGATGACAAGGCCCAGACAGCTTCACGGTTGCAAAACTCAGAATGTGGTTAAGTGGGACAGAGGCTCAATATTCTCTTGACAATACTCCATAGCGCTATTCTCTTTCTAAACTAGTTTAAAGGAACTTTTTATTGTCAAGGATAAACTTACTGAAGTATCTGAATCAACACAGGTTGATTGCATTTCAAGGCCTTCATAAGCTGGAACACAGCTGACATTGAGAGTGGTTTTAAAGAAATACTAAGGAGTGTGGTGTAAGAGGCTGCAAGGCCTCTGCGAGGTGAAATGAGGACAGCCTCCGTGCAAGGTCCACGTCTGAAAGCAAACAGCTTGGTGAGACTGCTTGGCTTATTTTAACATCTCAGTGCCCGTATCTTTCACATTTATCTCACATCTGCACCATGGTGGTCCATGGAAGAGATGGTAATTTCAGTTATTTTAAATCTTCTGTCTCTTATGATAATCCCTCACCGGTAAACAGAAGAAGGAAGAAAAAAAAAAAAAAAAGGAACAGTGATCAGGTACACAATTTTCTACTTAACAATTAACAAATGATATTTATCACTGAACAGCCAATATGGACAGTCCATTAAATTGATAATTTAAAACAGTGAAAAGCAAAATGCATAAAAAGTTAACGTAATTATAGAATTTAAACAATGAAGGGCCGGCCAGATAGCTCAGCAGAAAAGTGCCTGCTTAGGCAGGCACAGGGACTGGTGTTCAATCCCCGGTGCGCCGTGCTGGTCCTGCCCCTGGGGCGCACTGAGATGGCAACTGAGACTGGGTGTGGTGGTGTGCGCCTGTAATCCCAGTGCTTGGGAGGCTGAAAACAGGAGGATAAATCTGAGTCTGATCTGTGTAGTGAGATCCTATAGACCTTGTACTAAATACATTAAAAAAAAAAAATTTAAACAATAATTTTACAAAGAATTACCATAAAATCACCCTTGTCAGTTCTTACTCTAAACACAGCTTAAATACTATAAAATGTAATTTTATATTTACTATGTGTTTTTTCTATGTCTTTTAAACACACACACACACACACACACACACACACACACACACAGGTCTAAGCATCAAACATGCTATGACAGCAGCCACTCACTAGAAAAATGAAGCTGATGTATCAGAGAGGTGTTTTCTGTGGCTTAAGAAAACATTTCACATTTGGGTCTTTAGTAAAACACCCAGCATCAATGGGGAAGAGCTTCTGAACATCAGGTAATGCATGTAAACCACCTGGCAATAGTAGCTATTCAATAAGCGATCATAGCTAGTTTCATTAGTAAGTAGGGCTTTCTGATTATTTTAAGAAAAACTTGGCATTCTGCCTGTGATGCGGGAATGGGGTCATTTGTGAGTATATCATTCAGTTTTATGTCTTGGTCAACACCATGGCTAAAGAGCTTTGACATAATCAGTCTGATGAGATAATCCCAGATTTACTGGCTTGAAGAACATTCTAGTATTAGAAATATTTCCTCTCTGATTTGTGTCCTTGGTAATTCTGATTAGAAGGGAGAATAAACCAGCCCTGGTGACTCTGTTTAATTAATAAAAGATCCCATAGCTTCTAAGGTTGCTGTGAAGAATGAAAAATTTAGAGGTGTGGAAAATAAATGAAGCTGACTATGAAACAAGAAAATCATCCATTGGAACATGCAGTACCTCTGGCAAATGTTCCTGCAGCGATGGGGCATTTGACCTGATTTGGAGTGCTATCAACAGCAGTTCAGATATATTTGAAAATCGGAAAAGCATAATACTATTTGCCTCTGACTGCCTGCCAAATCTGCTGTTGGAAAACAATATTATTTGATCTGGGGGAGATGAGTGTATTGTGTGTTTTTGAAAATAATATTAATAAATTGAAAGACATATTTTAGAGCTTGTGAAAAAACTTAAGAGAATATGCCTTATTTTATTGGCAAAGAAATATAAGTGAATTTTAAAAATCCCATTATAATTACCCTCCTTATGTTTCTTACCTCCTAGCTAGAGAAGCAAAATGCTTTCCTTCAAAAAAGAAAGCAAAATGCTTTCTTTCAAAATAAAAATTTAGGACAGCCTGTTAAGCAAAAAGCGGCTGAAAGACAAAAAATGCACTAGTTTTGCAGAAATCCATTCTTATAACAGTCTAAGATGATGAAAGAGGTTCTTTTGTAATCTTCCACTGTGAATGGCACTATTTATATATCATTGAGTTTAACCAGAGTTGCGTGTACTATTTTATTACGCTTAAGATAAAGCTCGGTGATAAGGAGCCGAAGTTACTAACTTCCAATGTCAGGTTTTTGCCCCCTGGGGGGATAATTTTATGTATATAATATTAATAGACACCAATGAACAAGGATGAGTAAATTTACATTAATACATTTCTTTCTGACACCAGTCACTTTGAATTGCTGGATGATTTTACAACTGGTTTTAAGTAGAAATGAGGACAGAAGATTTACACTTAAAAAGATACTCTGCTTTTTTTGTTTTTTTGGGTTTTTTTGGGGGGACAAGGTTTCTCTATGCAGTTCAGGCTGGGCTTGTGCCCACTTCTGTAGCCCCCATGCTGGTCTTGAACTGGCAGTGACCGGCCTGGATCAGCCTTCTGAGTGCTGGGATTACAGGTATGCACTAATGAAGGGCCCATGCCCACTTTACATTTTTAAATTAACAAAGTAAAAGGTTACGAAAAAAAAAACCAAAAACCAAAACCAAAAACCTCACAAGGTGTACCATGTCAATAAATTTAAAAATTACCAAACTCCAATATATAGGCATCATTTGCTTTTTGCCCCAGGGCT